TAACGATTTAAATTTTATCACTAATAATAATTTGTAACGAAAAATAAAGATTTAATGATCAATAATTTAGTCACTAAATGTGAATTTTTTGGTAGTGATACTAACATGGCTTCCTACAACCATGTTCATTTGAAAGAGCAACTTTGGATTCCCTTGGGCGAGTTCAGTTAATGGAATAGACAAGAACCTAATAAAATAAAAATCATGAAATAGGTCGTAAAGGATTAAAAAGAAACAAGAAAAATGAAAAGGGGAAAAACCTTCTTAATTATAAAACATTCTATGATCCATTGATAGATAGTAAATTAATATACAAGCCTTTTAATGATTGTATAAAACATTCAACACTCAATGTTGAGTCCTTTATATGGATGGATGCATTAGGAAGAGTAAAAGAACTACTTTGATGTAGAATACATTCCAATTATTCTCATTCAAAGATAACTTCTAGTTCTCTATTAATTGTTTTCCTTGGGATTTTGACACTTGTTGTCTGCACACCATCTCCATGGCCAAAGGGATTTGGTGGCACTGTCAAACTATCGACTTCTGCTTCCAACATTTGAACCACGGCTTTCATTGATGGACGGTCTGTTGGGTACCACTGAATGCACCAAAGCCCAACAATTGTAAGTTTTCGTGCTATCTTGGCATCCCGCTCAGAATCTATTCGAATCCCAAACTCTTCTCCTTTGTCCAAGCAATTATACACCCATTCTGGGAAGTAAACTTGGCTCGTACTCTCTACTGTGACATCAATATTCTTCCTCCCTCCTACCATTTCCAACAATAGCATTCCAAAACTATAAACATCTGATTTATAGGATGCTTTTCCAAAGTTCCGGGACAATACCTCAGGTGCAATATACCCTATTGTTCCTCTGGCTGCTGTCATAGAAACAGCACTTTGTTCCTTGGAACACAGCTTTGCTAGACCAAAGTCGGAGATCTTGGGATTGAAGTTATGGTCTAGCAAGATATTGTGAGGCTTGATGTCAAAATGAAGGATTTGTTGGTCACAACCTTGGTGCAAGTACTCAATTCCTTTGGCTATTCCCATGGCAATATCTTGAAGCTTCTCCCAACTGAGGAAATGATCTTTATCTTTTGCTACAAATATGAACTTCTCTAAGGACTCGTTCGGCATGTACTCATAAACAAGAGCCCTCTTATTTCCATCTGCACAAAACCCAATCAAGCGGGTAACATTGACATGGTGGATTCTACACATTGATCCCACTTCGTTAATGAACTCTTCCGCAGTCGCTCTGAAATTGTTGAGGACCTTAACAGCAACCAAAACATCATTGGAAAGTCTCCCTTTGAAAACTGTTCCATAGGCCCCTTCTCCAAGTTTGTCCTTGAACTGATCTGTTATTCTCTTGATATCAGCATAAGAATATCTGGAGGGTTTGAGAGCTTTGTAATTCTCCAAAAAAATTTCAATCTTGAGTTGGCCCTCTTTCTCTGCTTTATATGAATGGTGAACGCGGTAACGTGCAAAGAGAATTATTCCAAGAAGACAGGAACCTAGGGTTATTCCTGTAGCCAACAATTTCTTCGGTCTATCTGTAAAAGATTCGAAGGTAAGATTCTTGCTATGTTCTTCAAATCTATTACAATCTGATATGACAAAACCAAGGTATTGGAGTTTTGGCCAACGGCCAGGGATGTAAAATTTTAAACTAGATGTTCATCTCAGAATTAAAAGAACAAGCATTTAACGAAACAGAACAAGTAAAGGCTATAAAATTAAAGAAGACAAATGAACTCACAGAGCATTGATGGCATTCATAACATATGAAATTGTTAAAACTTAAAAGCATACCTCTTTGTTTCTTGGATCTACCATAACACTCTGTCTCATCCTCTGTAATATTACCATTTTTCTTTAGTCTGCATTTCCTGCCTTCCACTTCACATATATTACAGTTTGGTTTGGACCAACTCAAATGAACATCCATTTTTCGGTTATGCAACATATCTTTAAACGCTTCTGTTACCGAAATGGTTAATGACGTTCTGGTGCAATTTAACAAACTAACAGCACCATAATATGAAGGAACAGCTAGAACTTGGAATCTTGGGATGCTTAAGCAAGGAATTTCGAAATCTTCATATCTATCTGTCATTTGTCCTTCGCCTGAACAATTGAAAATAATGTACTCTTGAGGATTGATTTCAAGGCCGAATGTATATCTGTTGTCCTCCTGGAAGGGAGATGCAGATAAATCATTGGGAAGCTGCCTCGCGAGGCACCCCTGGGGAGCGTATAAATGAATCCTCTGTGCTCTGTAATCTATACGCTTCACGAAAAACTTCACATGTTGCGAGAGCTCTAGCACAGTTTGGTTTTTCTCTGTGCAGGATAGTCCAAATCCAGGATAGCTGCACTTTTCCGGTTGTTGCTGTCCCTTAAGTCGAAACGGGAATCGGATGGTATGGTGATTGCACTTTTTGGGTTGGCATTCATCTCTGGCAGCAAGGAGCTCTGGAACCCTCACTATCAAGATAAAGCAAAAAAGCAAAAGAATCATCCTGAAGAAACTTTCCATCCCTGAAGTCTTTGAATCCAAGATTCAGTGTGATTTAGGATACAATTATTAGAACGGGGAGAAGAAGCTGTGTTCTGTATACAATGAGCATGTGGTTTTGGAAGGTGCGGGGAGGATTCGCGGACTTTTGATTTTTCAAAGTAGGAATTCCTTTGTCATTAATTCTTCTATGAAATTTCTGCTATGGCACAAATATTTGACACTGCACTCCAGGATTGGCGTGTGGGTTGGCGGGTTGGAGCCCCACCCCACACTTGTAATATCGTCCCCTCCCCATCCCCCAATTACTGTAGTTCAATTAAAAAACAAAACTGTGTAAACTGTGGGGTAGACACGCGGCAACTTGATGGAAACTACTTAAGAGCTTCTATTTAGAAATTTAGCTGTGTTGTGTGTTTCCAATTGATTATTGGCCCACTAAATCAAGTTTCATGGAAGCTGCAAATTGGGCAACAACTATGTGAAGAAAATTCTAGGCTTTCTTTTTCCATGGAGGTTAAAACGACATGTTAGGTGAATCTAGTATTCCAATCCTTTTAAAAATCAAAGTCAGCCAAAGCAGCGGTGGACTCTGCAGCAACTTGAAGGCTTTTTTATGCAGTCATCCCATCATTTTAGGCAATATGGATTCTAGGTGTTTGTTTTATTGCCTTTGAGAGTCACCTAGTTTGCACAGGGTGCTATCTTCTTCTTCTTCTTCTTATTTTGTGGGGGGCATAATTAGGTCACATTTGTTATCATCAGATTTTTTCCTATATTTTAAGAAAACTTCATGCCCTAATACTCTAGCTTTAGGATGTTAGTTAGAGCAAAAGTTGTGGTAATCTTCGGCCTCATGGCCCTCGCTTTGTCTCTTTTTCCTGATGCTTGTATTGCTGATATTTGCGCCCCTTCTTCTTGTGGAAACCTTAGTATAAGTTACCCTCTCCGATTACCCAGTGATCCTAAGGAGTGTGGTATATCAGGGTATGAACTTGTTTGCAAGAACAACCGCACCACTTTGCCCCCCGAAACTAGTACATACCGAAATTTCTTCGTGGAGGAAATCTCTTATGAGAATAGCACACTTCGACTGGTGGATCCCAGTCTCGATAGGAATAAGTGTTCTATTCCCTACTACCTTCTTCTTAAATTTCCATGTTGGTTGTCTTTGCCTGATCATTTTAGCTGTATAACTGATAATAAAATCATGTATGTTCTAAATTGCAATATGCTGATAAGCTCAACACGCTACGTGGATGCCTCTAATTGCACCGATGGCTCTTCCTCTGCACACACCTACTTTTTTCTTTTCGATAACGAAACAGAGCTTTCGGATTTCAAAGAATCATGCAGAATTGAAGCCCAGTTTCCAATCATGCTAGACAATATCTCAGGCCTCTCTGCTTCTGCAATTTACCAAAAAATGCTTATGGGCTTTGAACTGAAATGGAATTGGTTCGACTACAGTCAAGGTTGTGGCAGTAAACTTACATGGAGAGAGATTCTTGGACAGAGGTAGGTATTCAAGAACTTCTGAACATCTTTACAATGCACTAGAGGGCTATCGCCGACCTGTGGTTGGTAAATCTTAATTATTATTTTTTCTGAAGTACTTCTAATGAAACTTTGGATAGGAGATCGTAATAAACTTTTTAATAAGAGCATGCTCACATTATTATTCTGCATGCTTGAAGTCTCAGAAATGATGATTTATGAGTTCCATTTTTTTTATGTCCTAAGCAAACAGAATCATAATCTAGCAATAGAAGTCTTGAATTTCCTATTTCTATTGAAAGCTAATAAGGTTATCCATGTCATAGGAGAGTTTACCATCACCTATAGTATATGAAATTTGAATAGAAATTTCCTATATCTATTTTTTTTTGAAAATAGGCAATGGAATTTCCTATATCTATTAGAAGCTACTAATAAGACTATCAGTGGGACGCTAATAAAGAAGCTTGGAACCTTTGGTAGGTGCAAATGTCCTGTGACAAATGAAACAAAACGTAACTACTTAAATCCATTATTGAAAAACGAAACATGATTATCACCCTAAAAGTATGAACATTCTTTTTTCAAAGGAAATTAGGGAATTATTGAGTTTTTTTTTTCTTTGTTGGTACATCTAATTATAAACTATATAAGAAAAGATAGCCTCCCTTATTTTCAAATTCCTATCCACTTAATTTAAGGTTCGAATTTGACATCTCTAATTTTAAGTCTCAAACTCTTAACCATTAAACTATTTTCTTAGGGTGGAATTATTGAGTTTCTTGTAACTGTGAAGATTAAAGAAATAAATACAGAAGAGTTATCAAATTGAAAATATATAGCATATCAAACAATCAGTAGTAATTAATAAACCAACAATTAGTTAGCAACTTAATGTGTTGTTGATTAGTTCCATTGTTCAAATCTTAAAGCTAATACTCATGAAATCTAATTAGTAACTTAATGTGCTACTAATTAGGTCCACCAAGTGAATGTGAGTAGTGTACCTTTAAGATCACCTGAAAAGGAATTAATCTTGACACCCTAATTATATATATAAAAAAAAAAGCAACATAATTACATGCATGATACAACCTTTCACGGTCCCTCCTACTGTAAACAAAAAAATAAGGGGAGGGGGGAGATCACAATGGCCACTTATCCTTGAGCACTCCACTTACCATATAATCATATAATCTCACTTCCATCTCTACATAAATTTTTTACTGGCATTTCATTTATAAGGTATAAGATTTAGATGTAAACTATGAAATATGGATAGTATTGTAATATTCATACTCAAGCAACTCCTCCCTCCATTACGCATGCGCGCTTCAATGTGCATCAATAGAAATTAAAACTCTGGCTGGGCATGACATCCGCTTTTAACCATCCAACCAAAACCCATTTAGCAGCTTGGTCTTATATAAGGATGCATAAAAAGGGTCTCTGAGACCACATTTTGTTTTTTACCTTTTAGATGATATTAAGCTTGTATTTAAAGATTTGGCTATTGACCAAGGATTTAATAAAAATAATAAAAACAACACATACTATTCAAGAGCAAGAAAAGATGAAATAATGACTTTGTCTACAAACAGTAAGCTTGACTTGAACACGCTGTGACATAGACAAATCGGATATATTGTATTCAAAGTCATGAAAGAAATTACTAAGAATTTTGACAAATAAATAGCATAAGGAAAAGAGTAACTTAATTACCAACCTCAAAATCTGTAGAGAAACAAAGGAATTCAGTGGAAGGATTCAAATTAGTTTTTTGAGTCGCAGCAGTTTTCTCATTTGAAAAGGGAGTAGTTGGTGCGAGAGAAGTGAGGAGAAATAAACCTTGAGAGAATTTACTTTTGCTTTATATGCAACAATCATGTAATAAAAGGGACTTAAATGGCATGAAAGTTACTCTAAGGGACGTATTTGGGATGGAATTAAGTTAGTGTAGGCTTGATTAGAAAATTAACAATTTAATTGAGGGGGCAATACTAGGATTATTCCTATGAAGCAAACCTTGTTTTTGAACATCTTTACCAAAACGTTAAATCGGTTTGATGTTCTTCAAAATCCTCTTTGTTCTTTTATCCATTGCCTTACCATATACTGATATATATCTCTTCATGCTCATCTTATCCTGAATGTAATTTTCAGTAAGTATGCTGTGGGAGATGCGCTCTACAATTTTGTACATTTAATTCGAGGTGACATTTATTATTTTTACAATAAAGGTATGCTTTTCTAATTCAATCTTTATTGGGAATTAATACTCATTCCTTAGCACCATATGTTTATGTGCTGACATATTTTTGTAATTTTGTTATTCTAATGTATAGGCCCTGATGACATATTTCTCGAAGCAACAGGTCAGTCTTAATTTTATATATTCAAAAAACAATAAAAAAAAAAAAGAACTGCTTGTGGGTAATAGTAATATATAACTTTTGTGATGTGATCTTGTACCTAATTTTTTGTGATAAGGTGGACTTATTTTGGCAAGAGCTTTGCTAGGGTTATCCATCTTGATTGCAATTATCGTGTACAAGTTCCACAGGAGACATTTGTCTGCAGATGATACAATTGAAAAGTTCCTTCAAAAACAGAACAACTTTATGCCTATTAAGTACTCATATTCTGAAATAAAGAAAATGACTAGAGGTTTTAAGGACAAATTAGGTGAAGGAGGTTATGGTTTGGTTTTCAAAGGAAAGCTTCAAAGTGGCAATTTAGTGGCAGTAAAATTAATGAGCAAATCAAAAGCTAATGGCCAAGATTTCATTAATGAAGTTGCTACCATTGGAAGGGTTCATCATGTTAATGTGTTACGACTTATTGGATTTTGCGTGGAGGGATCTAAACAAGCTCTTGTATATGATTTCATGCCAAATGGATCCTTGGATAAAATCATATTTTCCAGTGAAAATAGCACAGCTTTAACCTGGCAAAGAACATTTGAAATTGCTCTTGGAGTGGCTAGGGGGATTGAATACTTACATCGAGGATGTGAAATGCATATTCTACATTTTGATATTAAGCCACACAACATCCTTTTGGATGAGAACTTTAATCCAAAAGTTTCAGATTTTGGTCTTGCAAAATTGTATCCGATAGATGACAGTATTGTGTCTCTTACTGTAGCAAGAGGTACTCTAGGATACATGGCTCCAGAATTATTCTACAAGAATATTGGAGGTATCTCATACAAAGCTGATGTCTATAGTTTTGGAATGTTGTTGATGGAAATGGTGGGAAGGAGAAAGAACTTAAATGCATTTGTTGATCAATCAAGCCAAATATACTTCCCAAAATGGATATGTGAACGTTTTGATCAAGGAGAGGATATAGAGTTGGGAGATGTTACAGATGCT